AAATTGATGTCTCTCCAATTTAGAGACAAGGATGTTGTGTGGGACAGTGTTGAACGCTTTGCACAAGTCCAGGTAGATGACATCAACTGCTCTACCCCTGTCCATCAGTTCCGTAGCTCCATCATAGAAGGCCACCAAATTGGTCAGGCACTTTGATTTGTATAAGTAAGTGAAGAGGTATTTATATACAGGCTTGTTTTCCATTCGTTCACTTGAAAATTAACCACACAGATTGACCATCTTTCTCTACTGGTTAAGTGCTAGTGAAAACCAGAAACATGGTAATGTGCTTAATAGCATTTAAACACATCAAATATTTTTTACTAACTGTTCCATCAGCTGGAATGTTCATGTTAAAAGAAACACAAGAGTAAAACCTCCTTTTATTATAGGGCTTTTCTAACCGATACTGCAGCAATACATGAGATCTATTTGAATTATCCTGTGAGATGATCAGTTTTACAGAAAAAAGGGTAGTCAGAGGCAACAATTAGACAGAGACAAAAAACTACAAAATGGAGAAAACAAGTTTGAAATTTTGCTATGTTCATCTTCACAGTCCTGTGCTACTATAACAATTTTTTGATCTTTTTCAGCAAACAGGATACTGGTGGTGTCATAAAAATCATAGAATCATAGAATGGTTTGGGTTGACCAGGTTGCTCAAAGCCCCATCCAACCTGGCCTTGAACACTGCCAGGGATGGAGCAACAACAGCTTCTCTGGGCAACCTGTGCCAGTGCCTCACCACTCTCACAGGGAAGAACTGTTTCATAATTAATTATCTTAATATTAACTATTTTATTTATTTATGATAAAAGAGTATCTTCAAAAATAACATTAATTTCACGAAAAATCATTTAGAATTTGAAGATAAAATATTTAGGGAAACAATTCAGAACAAAAATTCCTATTTTATCATTGTTTTTTTCTGCTCTAAAAAGTAATATCACTCAAATCTTTAAATGGTGGTATTTCTGTAAATGGCTACCTTCTCATTCAGACAAGGATATAACAAGGGCTGTCAATATCTGTTAAACTGTCATTCACTCAACTGCTGTCTTCATCCAGTAGGGAATACTCATTGACCATGAGAAAGATTTTCTTTCCAATGCATATTTACGGTGAGGTCATCTGCCTAAATACCCATGGTTGGTAAGAAACTATGAGTTATGGCAAGATTTCTGAAGAGGGTCTGTCCCCTTGTCTGCAGAACCCTCCTCAGTTCTCACGGTTCATTTAGAAAACAAAAATGTAATTTTTTGAAGACCCAAAAGCTTCAGAAACAGTGGCTTTTTCATTGCTCCTTTCACGGGTATTTGCTGAAGAAGGACATATTTTGAACCATTTTTCTAAGGTCTTCCTAAGCTTAGCCACCATGACCATACAGAAAATTCTCAGCAACCAACTCTAACTTTGGGGTTAGTCAATTATTAACACATAGCTCCCAGTTTGTTTCTAGATCTCAGCATCTGTTGATAATTGTGTTCTGTTTGCCTGCATAAACAGTCTGAGATTACTCAAACAAGAATGTGCTGAGATGATGCTCTTGTATCAAAGTCTTCTCATGAAAAAAAAAGGTATCAAGAACTTGTTCGGATTCTCCTTATAAAAGTACGGTAAGCATTGTCTTGTTATTTTCAACTACTCATATATATCCAAAGGGTTTATGAAATACACATCATAAAAGGTTTTATGAAATACAGCAACCTCATAAACCTTTATAATTAAGACAATTCTAAGACTTAAATGAAAGTGTTATCATCTGGAGTTCACTGAAGGTCCATTCATGAAAAAAATCAAATGAGTTCATAATTGGGTCTAGACTGTTCCCTCTGCATATAGGGCTTGGTATCATTAACTTTGCATCAGCAATCACCACTGTCTCAATGATGGTTCCTTATTACCGCAATTTGCCATTTACCATTTTCAGTTCTTGAAAGTGGCTAGCTGTTCTTTCCTCTTAATTCAATAGCATCCTGTGAATTTTAATGAAATCCTTCTTTGAGTTTATATGACATTGGTCTGGTTATCCATTATGCAGCTTTCATACCCAAACTACAGTTTCCCTAATAAGTCTAACCTATTGGCCAAGGAGGTCAATTGTTTCTCATTAATAATAATAAATGGCCAATTCTAGTACAAAAGTGCATACGAAATAGCATGCAAATTCTCTTTTCTGTTATCCCATTCTCTGACTTGCACTCAAACAACGTTTTGCTGGACACTTAATTGTAAAAAAATACCAAGATTAATTTCCCTGTGTCACTTGTTTTCATAGTGTCCTTTATTCAGGTAGAGCTCTTTACAGTGGCCCAAAAGAGCTGGGGTCAAACTGTGTGTGTGGAGCATTTTAAAAAGAAGATGACATATTTCCTTTCTCCATGCAACAGGAAGCAGAAGAAGAAACGATACTGGCTTGCAAGATTCAGACACACTGCCGTTGAACATACACACCTGCCTTCTCTGTGCAGGGTTTCCAGGAGCTGGCATTCATTAGTAGCAGAATTATAAGGGACAAACCAGAATGTTAATGTTTCTAGCTACCAGTGCTGTCCAGTGATTCTAGCATTTTTACAGAAGTTTAATGAGTATATGTAAATAAGCACACTGACATCTGCCTATATATAAAAATCCTGGAGCAATGAGGGAAGCTCCAAACTGATGCAGCTATGCCATTTAACACTGCTGTATAAATGCGGTATTTTTTCAATCTTTTTTCCACAGACCGTATGACAATCCACATCCTGCAGTTATGTCTTTTCCTCACACCTTTATACACCTTTAAGCCTCAACAGAGTAACAGCGCCGAATTGCATGCAGACACAAATACACACAGGTATTTATGTGCATATATATTAAAATGCATTATTTCTGTATGCACATCTGTATGCAAAGGTATGTTCACGCGTAAATACAGAACCCAATACGTGCAGGATCATTTTTCTAGCTCAAAGGTACATGTAATACGAAAGTATGCAAGACTGAAGTTCTAGACTCCACTGTGATTTATGCATCTGCTTTCTGAGAGTGCAGTCAGTGAGAGAATTTGGATCTAATTTTCCCTGAGATTTTATGCAAAAAAGACAGAGATGACCACCTGCAGACTGAAACTGACTGTTGTCTTTTAAAGTTGACAAGCGTTGGCTTTTTACTATGCTTTTTAACAAAGTTACCATTTAAAAGTAAAGCTACCCATAAAGGTTAGCTATCACACTCATTTAAAATGCTCCTCAAGTTTCCAAGGGAAGAAAGCAGTAACTTTTTGCCAATGAAGGAGGGTGAGGAAAGAGAGTGATTCTAAGCAGTATTTTCTGTATTATTAATATAAAATTCCTAGACTTTGGATTGTTCATAATGGTTGTATTTCATCTATTCCTTTCCTCTGGAATCCTTCCTTCCTTCTGTGACCTTTTGTAACTGACACTCCAGTGGTTTATCTGCAGGCTTTAGTATACTGTATGGTAGTCTTCAGACTTGTCATAGAGACCAACACTGCAAACTTCTCACTTTCCACTGTAAGGAACTACTGGAAGGATGTTCCTTTCATACAATGGAAATATTCATTCTAATAACTCTTTATCCGTAAGACACCAGAATTCATAATCTGACCCAAAATATTTTTTCTAAAACCTCCTCCATCTTCAAAGATGAACAGCAACCCAAATAAGATTTACATATTGAGGAATTAGTGGGTAACTGACTTAAGAACTCTCCATCTGTTGAATTTTAAACATGATGCACTTGAGAAAGTGCAATAAATAAATACACTAATTGCCAATGAACCTCCCAAATAAAGTGACTTCTTAAAAAAAGCAACTGTAAATAAATTCACTTCCTACATTTTTGTTTTCACACAAAATGGAAACAAATATTATTCTACCAAAACATTCATAAAAGTGGACTGCCCTGCAAATGAAGGAGACTATGAGACACTGCACAGGTTGCCCAGAGAAGTTGCGGATCTCCCACCCCTGCAAGTGTTCAAGGCCAGGTTTGATGGTGCTTTGAGCAACGTGGTCTAGTGGCACGTGTCCCTGCCCAAGGCAGGGAGTTGGAACTAGATGAACTTTACGGTCCCTTTCAACCCTAACCTTTCCCTCTGAACTCCAAACAGCCCACCCTCACAGCTCATGCTGTGAAGGCTTCATCCCACAGAGGTGGTCGAAGCTTGCCTGCCCTCACGCTCCAGCCTCACCGAGTCACGTAGCTTCCGGAAGCCCCATCTAATTGGAGTGCCATTGCCGTTGAACCGATGAGTTGTTCCCGGTGATTCGGACAGGGCAGAGCACAAAGTGCCCCGCTCGCTGTTGCGGCCGCATGACTTTGAATCTAAACTTGCAGGTAGCTTTGGTTCCTCCCCTCCCGGACTCAGGTTTACTAAAGCTCCACTAGGCCGAACCAGGGGGACAAGTTACCGGCCCGCAGCGGGGAGGCCCGGGAGGGCGTCGAGCAGCTTGGCGGGCACGGCAGGCACGTTGCCTGCACTCGCCTCGCTGTAGCGAACTCAGCTCCTAGTGGGGCAATCCCCCCCAGCCTCTTCACCTGGCGGGACAGCGGTGCCCGCCCCGCGCATGATAATGGGCTCCCGTTCCCACCTCGCCCCGGGTGGGGTCCCGTCCTGCTCGCCGCTTCTTCCTGGTTGCGGCCGGAGCCGCTAGGGAGCACCTCCCGCACAGGTACCGGAGGCCAGCGCCGCGAGGTAGCCGCCGTACTTTGAAGGGGAGGGTCGGGGGCAGGCAGAAGAAAGAGAACAAACCGCAGAGCGCCGGCACCGAGCGGGGGAAGCGCCTCGCTCGCCGGCTGGCGGAGGAAATTCGGTTGTGTGGCTCCGGAGCGCAGTGTGGTTTCTCCCACCCTCCCGGCTCCATCCCTGCCCCTCCCGGTGGGTGGCCGGGACGGGGGGGCTTGCTGCCCTCCCGCACCTCGGTTGTCCCCGCTGCATGTGGGCCCCGGAGCGCCGCAGCCCAGGAGGACACGAGGGGTGCGTTGTGATTTGTTTATTTATTATTTTCGTTACGTGCGGCTTCGGGGCGGGGAGCGGAGAGGGGTCGGCTAGGGGGCCGGCGAGGTGCCCCCACCGCCTGCGGGGACTTTCCCGCTCCGCCGTGTTTGTTGTTGTGTTCCGGGGAGGAGGCGGTAGAGCGAGGGTTCACCCGGGGAGGGGGGGTTGAGGGGGGGGGGGGAAGCGCTTCTACTTCTCTTCTTCCTCTTCGCCGTGGGTGCCCCGCGTCTCCCCTCCTTGGCGGGGTAGCTGCAGGGGGCTCGGCGGAGGGCGGGCGGTGCTGCATGACACCTGGAGCAGGTGGCACGGGCGGGAGGGTGGCGGGAGGTAGCCCTTGGGCTCCCTCTTTCCCGCGATTCCTCTTGCGGGACAGGTACCTGCGGGCAGGCCATCGGCGGGGAGCGGAGGGGAAGGCAGGCACGGGTCTCCTCGCCGCCGCCGCGGAGGGCTGAGGGGGCCAGTGCCGCTCGTTACATAACTGGGCGAGCGTGGGGGGGATTGGTGCGCGGGTGGCACAGATCGCCGCGCCCCGGCCGGCAGCGGGAGGCCCGAAGTCGGTACCGTGGGCTTCCGGTTTCATATGGCTGTGCCCGGGGCTTCAAACAGAAACGGTCGACTTCTCCTTTTTTATCGTTTTCTTCTTCCGTTTTAACCTTACAGCGCTGGCGGGCAGCTGGGGGAGCGGGACAGGTGCTGTCCCGGCCGCCATCCCACCGACTGGTCGCCTTTCCCTTGCCCGGGCACTCGCTGGCTCTTACCAGGGGTTTTCCTTGAAGTTCCTGTGAGGGAAGTGTGAGGTGCGGCGGGAGCTGGCTGAGGCCCCCCCCGGCTCCTGTCAGCAGCCCCTGGTCCCCGGTTGGGACCACCACTTTCTCTTCTGTCACTGGCTTGGTTTGGTTTGAAGCTGCCGTACCTTTGGTGCTTGTCAGCCACCGGCTGTGCGGTTTCCGTGGAGGGTTTAGCAGTGTTTAAAGTAACTCGGTGTGCGGTGGGCTGCAGTGAAGGGGAAGGCTGCAGGTCCGGTTTCTTCGTGTGCTTCTGGGCACTTTCTGAGAATCGCTGCATAATTGGTCCTGGGAAGAAAGTAAACACGTATTTTTGTAGTTTGAAGTAGGTCAGTCATGGTGGTGTTTCCTGCGGGCATCACATTTGTCCTTCAGTGTATCAGATGCTGCGTTTGGAGTGATGTTGATTTAAAATAAATGTGAAGAAACTGTGAAATTAAAGGCTTTCTTATAGAGAAACTGAAGTTTTCCCTCTTTTCAGAGGGACCAAAATCGAGTCTCAGGTGATCAGGAGTGACAGCATGTGTATTGTACTGTTTTATTTCTGTAATACCTACTGATTAACATGCTGAGATAAATAATAAGCATAATTTTGTGTCTATGGAGTACTGCTGGTTCACAGATGCAGACAAGTTAAGATGTAGATTGTGGGATGATTGCTTGAAGGCTTGAAATAACCTGGCTGGAAGGATGATGAAGTGCTTTCTCCCTGTCAGTCAAGGTAAATAATAACAGAGTAAGAGAACAGTCTCCTTTTGTGTTAATGGTTTGGTTACTGTTGGTGGTGGAATAGGAAACAGTTCTCTAAGGTCTTTAAATGGTCTTAGAGCAGTTAGTGGTAACCGGTATGAATCTGTCAAAATGCTCAACCATCTCAGATTATATACTTTAGGTTTTTACATAGTGTCTGCCTGTATGCATTCTGAGTTACTGTAAAGAGCACCTACGAGAACATTAAAAGTGCTGTACCACGGTACACTGAAACTTCTACTGGCAGCAGCCAGGAGAAGGTGCCAGGAGATGACCATGATGGGGAAAGCTTGCAGTGGTGCTTCTCCAGAATACTCTCTCCAGGCAGCTGGGGCTCAAGGATTCCCTTGGGTACAAGTGTTGCCTTTGTGCTTGACAGATACCAAGTTTGGGGTTTATTTTTTTATTTGCTGGATTCTATATAGTAATTTTTGAAGCCATGTAGTCTCCTAGTAAGATAACAGGCCTCTGAGCAAACAGGTAACCTGATGGAGCGTTTTACAGACATTATCAATCACTAATAACATGGTTAAAAGGCAGTTTCTAAGTTTGCAAAGGCCTGTGCATAGAAGTTGCATTAATGGATATTAATTTTCCAAGCCGTGTCCATACATTAGGCTCTGCGATAATCCGTCTAAAATAAAGATAGCCACTTAGCAATTATTGTAGTGATAAATTTTGGCCCACCACAGACCCTTTATTCTATGATAGAAATTGCAGCATGTTACTCTAAAAATAGTTTTGTGGTTTTATTTGCTTAATTTTGTGCTTTCATGGAAATTTTCATGACAAAATCTTTCTTATGTTGGGCTTTATTCCTTATAGTCTGCTCCCATATGATACCAGTCAGCTAAGGCCTTAAATCCTTTTTAAAGACAAGCTTATCAGAATTCTGAAAATCATGGGCTCCAAAGATCCTGCACACACAGAGAAGGATTATGGCTGTTTTCAATGCACGGCAACAGCCAAGACTTGATATTGGTCACCCTATGAATCCATAGCATAACTGGGACATGCTTCCAGTTCTTTCCTGATCTGAGAGTTGGAGATGAGTGTGATGGATTACAAATAAAGGTACGTGGAATGGTAGTGGCAGGATGGGGCAAGAGAGCGTCCCGTCCTAGGGGAGTCCTGGTGTTCTTTTGGTGTTGCCTGGACAAACACAGAATTTTGAAAATTGATGCTTTAGTCTTAGTACTGCTGCATATGCACAAACTTCCTGTTTATTTTTTTGTGATGTTTTTACTCAGTACTTGATGTAAATTACCCATATGGTTTAAATAGCCACTTCAGCTATTTATTCCATCAAATAGGGCACATCATTAAAGTTTAGGCTCTAGTTACTTTGCTACAGGATTGTTATGACTAAAGAAACACTTGGAGTTTAAACTGTTGGAGAAGGCAGATTAAACTGAAATCTACATCTCAACTTGTCGTGTAAGTAGCAGAAGTGTTCAAAATGATCTGTGCTACCCATTTTATGTTAACCTTTTACCTGCCAAAAGGAAGTGCCGTGGAAATAGATGAGTGCTCATATATTAGAACCTGGGCAGTTCGGTTCAATTTTTTACTTACCAGAGCTGAATTGTTTTAATTTACAGGGTAATATAACAATTTTTGATAGTTCACACAGTATACTGGCTAATGTGAATGAAATCTAGCATTCTTTGACTACAGTGCTGAGAGCATAACCAGTATTTAATGCGGGAGAAGGCTGGAAAGTTTGCAGTCTAAGTCTCTGGTCTTGCATACAGCTTTAAAGTGTAAGCTCTGTCATGGATTAAAGGATAGCACGGTCTTCTGTATCATTGGTGAAGTGCCCAGTCCTGTGGTGTTTAATTACCTGAATAATTTTTCTTCTCAGGCAAGATGTCACGTTGAAGCTGTGGGCCGTGTTTTCTGTGGTGAGGAGCTTATTTAAATGAAGGGTACAAGTGATGAACAGCAATAGGTGAGGAACTTTTAGCTGCGGTTTTGAACAGAGCTGGCTCATAGTCTTTTATAAAACAGGTCTTCTCTTTTTTGTTACTTTGTTGTGTTTTTTTTCTTAAACACTATGTTGAAGATGGAAAGGGAAAAGCCATTACAGTTGTCCAGAATTGTTAGGTGCTTTCAAGAAAAAATCAGCAGGATGCTATAATTTCTGAAGAAGCCTTTTTATATATATATATATATATATATATATATATATATATATATATATATATATATATATATATATTAGCAACCAGTGGAGGAAGAATGAAAAGGATACATGCTTTAGAGCTTGGATGCTCAAATAACTTGTACAAACTGGAGTTTCAAAGACGTAAGACTAGGCTCCAGTACTTTATTTGCATATTGTTTGTGTTAACACCTGTTTTCTGGGGCACGAAGAAATTAAGCACAAACTGCTTAATTTGGACTTAATTAGATAATCAATATAAAATAAACAAGTTGGTCTCCAAGAGACCGATCCAGTTGCCAAAGGCAGCGTCTGACTTCTGTGGAGATTAGAGCTGTATTACTGTAGCCTTTGGTTGTAGTCCTGAGTCTTGCTGTGCTAATCATTCTGCAGGCAGGTTGTTCTCAGCCTGATGAGGCAACTTGCAAGTGCTGCGTTTGAGCTGAAGGAGTATGGTATGGTGATGCCTAGTAGGTCATTAATTAAAATGACACAGTTGAAATCTGGTTCTCTAGGGGTTTCATAAATGTTCTTAGTTATGTTAAGCACCATCGAATTAGCTGTGGTTGGAAAGAGTTGCATGAAACTTCATTGGTGGCTCTCCCCTAGCAGGACAATTATAGTGTCTAATCTTGCATAATCAGTGAGGTTAAATAAAGCCTGTGTCACACTCAGGTTTAGATTTTCTTTACTTAATAATTTTGTTCAAGTCACTGTGGATTTTCTGTATTTGTTTCTCTGGTTATTTTCATGTGTTAGTAGCACATGAAGAAATTACTCTCTCTTACCATCTAATCACCGTACAAATATCAAATGTAATCCTGGTTTAATCCTTTTGTCACATAGGCTTTTAGGTATAGCAGTAATAACTTTGATGTTAAGTCATATAGATGATTAACGATTTTATTGACTTTTCTGAAGTACAGATTGTACTCATGTTTTTGCCAGCTGTTTTCAGCATTTGGCTTTTGGTTGTTTTTTGTTGTGTGGTTTGTTTTTGCTTGTTTGGGGAATTTTTTTTTTTTTTGTTGTTTTTCTGGGGAGGGTGGAGGGGTTGCCTTTTTTTTGAAGAAATTTTCTTTGATGTTCAGGAGATACCACTCGTTGTCATCTCAGTTTTTTTTTTGAGAGGTTTGCATAGACTGACCCTTCTGTAAAAGCTTGGTCATCCCGGGTTAACTTTTCTGTAGTGCTTGACATACCTGATATTTCCTTTAAAGGATTCAGAAACAATTATGAATAATTTCTTGTGCCTAAAGAAATTCTAAGTAGTAGGTACTTAAACAGTTCCTGACAACATTGTTTAGATTTTAACATTCTGGGTTTCTCATATTTGGAAAAAAAAGCTTTATGCGTCTTAAATGCTCAGTTAAAAATAATTGGTTAATATAAAGTGAGATAATTCCTACGAGGCTTCTTGCATCAGTTGCAGTAACTGTGAAATCCCAGCTCTGTTGCTTGGAATAGCTGTAAATGTTGGACATGTCCCAGGAAAGCCCACGCAAAGGGCACGTGAGAGAAAACCAAGAAATAACATGGAAATTTCCAGCCATGTTTTTTTCTTCTGTCCTGAAATGATTTTGAAATAACTCAGTAGGGAAGTTAGTTTTCTAAATCTTTACTTCACTATTGCTTTTTTTTTTTTCCTCCCCAAGCTTTTGTAAGGCCTTTCAAAGGGGAGAAACAAGCAAAGCAATAGATCTGAAAAGATTGATTAAATCAGACTTTATCTTTTTTAGTAGACTATGACTGAAGGTACAATAATGATTTTTACATTAATAATTTATAAATTTCAACAGTTTTTACTCAATGTATCAGCTGTGCTAAGATTGGTTTTGCACATTGGAAGGGAAGATGGTTTTTAAATCTTACTTTTTTTTT